AGGGAAATAACCGGTCGCGCTTCGATTTCGAATAATGCAACTAGCAAACAGACTGACGCGTTTCTCGGGCAAACATCATGGAAATGAGGAAATTACTCGTTGCCGTTCCGACATCAGTGAATTTTAAAGAGTTCCACGAACACCGGTTCTTGCTTATTATGTTCTTAAAGTACCTTGAAAATTCTCGAGCAGCCGGGTATTTACGGAAACCTTGGTTTTCCACTGACATATGTTCGGCTGGACTTTTAGCTGCTGGCAGAAAACATTACTCTCGCGAAACGCAACGCGGAAACAAGCTCGCGTTCGTTCCTTCGTGCATGTGTTAGTCGAGTTCTTGCACATATTGCTCGTGTTACGAGTTCCTCGAGTGTCGTTGAAATTTCGCAAGCACCCTGAGCAAAGAACTTCAACGAAAGCGTCGAATTACTCTCGCGATTCACCCACGCGACTTTGATAAAAGGAATCTAAAAGGATCTTCTATTTGAGACATTTGATCATTTTTCTATGTTTTCATAAAAATATTTCAGTAGAGTTTCACGCGTAGAAAGCTCATCAATGGCTCGAATCGATATTTCATTGTTATTAATGTCATAATAAATATCATCCTCTTATGAAACATCATCCCTGCAGCCATTAAGATTATTAGATATAGATTTAAGGAAGCCTCGTTGAATTATAAATCCCTTGTTTAATATCTAAATTGATATGTATTTTATATAAGGGTGTGAGAGGTGTTCTCATTTTGGTAGATTAAAATGTTTATACAGGAGATTTCACGGTGTGTAAAAAATTAAATAGAGTAAATAAAATAGTAGGTTACAGTCGTTGAAATACTAAATGTTATAAAATCGGATTACTTTTCGCTCGGCTGTACTCGAATAAGCGTAGCCAGACGTTTGTGAAGTTTAAGTAGTTTTTAATTGAGCTGCGAATATGCTTTCGCCGGTGGGTAATTAGGGCAAAGTTGACGAAGTGTGTAGAATTTTATCGTTTTTCGTTGGAAGTTCAGTGCTACGCTTGGATATTTTGATGAATATTAAATTTCGGAGTTTCATGCCATCGTACTAAACAGGAAATTAGCAAGTCTAAGTATCCTCAAGTATTTCCTTCCTTTCGTTTTCCGAAGGAACCGGATGTATTTTTGCTGAAGGTAGAATCTCGAACTTGTAAATAAAATATATCAGAGCAGCGGGTAGAGAAACTTGTATTTCTAAGAGCCGGAGGAAAACTTTTTCTGTAGCTGTTTAATGAAACTTCCGTTAGAGGTTAAAATAAACATCTTGTATTCGTTGTGTAATACTTTTAGTATTACGGTGTATACTTGTGTAGTCTTTTGCAATTCTAATTTTTCCCCTGGCTAAAGTTTCGAACCACGACAACATCTGCATTTTAATTATGTCACTTTTGTAATCAGACTCGAGAAGTAATTATCTATCCACGTCGTTGCTTTAATCTCTGTATCAAGAAGTACATTCCGAGACTTCTGCTTCAATTATGTTCGGCAAATTTATAGGCTGTGAACTATGGGGTGTTGTTAATGTGCTTGAAACCACCAGGAAATGAAAGGGGAATCTCATGCATTACGCTGACATTAACTAATCTCGCAAAGTTGTGACGTGTAACGTGGCATTGTATGGAATTTAATAAGTTAGTTTAATCTCGAAGTGGACTTTGAGCAAGAAATTAATCTAATGGTGTGTTAAATTTATGATCCAAATTATTTCAATTTAATAAATGCCGAAACGTAAAAAGTAGTTGGTTCAACTGGTTGATAAAATATGCTCTCGAAATTTATTTGTGTGTCATTTTAAATGACTATCACGATAAACCTTATTGAGTTTGTCAAAAGAACACTTGTCAGTTAAAGAATGTATCGCTTTACATTTAGAGTGAATTGAATAATTCAAGATCCATTAACCGTTCCTGTGAATCTTCAACTTTACGAAATAGCCTCGCTTAAAGGGAAAAAGGAGGAAAAAGAAAATCCTCGAAAAATCGATTTTCTCCCCTTGCTTTAAGACTAAAATTAAATTCCAGAATTGACACAATTACAATTGACCCGAAGTCGAAATAATACGATTCACTGCTGCGAATAACGACCATGCCCGCAGTATTATTCGACCATCTATTTTACTCTCCTCGATTTCTTTTATTATCCCGAAGGGTTAAATCTACCCGTCGAGGATCGAAAATGGAGTGGGATCAGCAGAAACACTCGAGCACTCTCAATCACGCGGGTTCCTCGATTTCTAAGGACTTTCAGCGATTTCTCCATCATAATTTATCCAAAAGCCATCGGTTCGATTTTACTTCCACCTTAGGTATATTTCAGGAATTACACGAATAATGTCTGCCGACCGATCTGTCTCATAAAATCAGTTTTTTACGTTGAAGCTCGGCTTTACAGAAATGAAACGGATCGTTCGATTTAAACGATTGATATTCCGTAGGGACGACGACCGAAAGAGTATTATCTGTTCTGATATAGCGGTCTGCAATAAATAGCCGACTAGATGGCAATATCAACGGGGTTATGGATGGCCTGGTCGCGGCCAATATCCGCGCGAGATGAAGCGACGCGCGTCGAGAACTTCGTAAACCGCTTGAGAGCGTCGTAAAGCTCGACGGAAGCTGCCGGTCGGCTCGCGTTTCCGTTTAATATATTCCCGGTGTGTTCTGTTCGCGGATCATTGAAAATTTCAGCGCGGATTGACCCGTCATGAATATGGAACGTTTTTATCCGCGAACAAGTCGAACGTGATCGAATGAAATCTTTTTTTTTTTTCATTTCCGCTTGAAAACTTTTCATCTTTCGTCGGTGTTCGGTCATGGGGTTTGATTAAACTCTGGTATCAATTAAATCCACTCGGCGAGGAAATCGATCGGTCCCGATATATATATATATATATTTAGTGTTAGCCTTGTTCGCGTTAACTTGGAGCATCGGCTATTGTCCGAAGCGGATTATCAGTCAACTGTTGGCTAAAATTAATGATCTCGAGGATAACGGATGCGAGTTGCGGAGCAACGAGATGTTACATAGAAACTCCGATCGATGGTGCTTTAGGAATGTACGGAATGTGTATGTGAAAACGTTTGAAAGCTAGAGCTGTTCGTATAGCGACGAGCTCCATTATCCGGCACGATAAGCGTAAACCATCGATCGATACTCTTCTCTCACCCTCTGTGCGTCTGTTCCTGGATGCGATATGCGAATTGTGTGTAGTGGTTTAAGCTTCTCGGTTGATACATTGAAACGCGGTTACTAAGTGTTATCTTAGGTACTTTTGTATTAGATCTGATATATCTCAAAATCTATCGTTGTTCGTTGCGATCTACAACTAATCATTAGATATTAAGAATATTGATAAAGGTTTTATATAGCTATTTTCAGTAGACTTTAAGTTTTAAATTGTTATATTATAAGTGTTATTTTGAGATACTTTTATGTCATCTAATCATGCCGAACCTTAGATGGCTGATAGGTGGATTAAGATAAAAGGTATTTGCCAAGTGATTCGAACTTTGAAATTTTAAGAAGATTAATTTTATACGCATGCAAATAAACGAGGTCTATTAATTCAATCTGAAAAGTTAACCCGGCTGCTTCGGGAATAAAGTTTATCGAAATGAATTCAGGAGTTTCGCCAACAAGTTTCTCGTAGCTCGGATAATTTGTACCCGAGCGAAATTAATTCGCCTTACTCCGCGTACTCTAAACTTCGACCTTTGTGTGCTCGTCGAGGCGGGAGAATGGGAAGGGATGAACGCAAGGGATGAAGTGATTAACGCATAATCAATTCCAACGTGTTTCTAAGCATTCTCACCACCCCGCCATCGCTTTTCTTTATTTTCCTCTCTTCGTTATCTTCTCACCCTCCGGCGATTGTTACAATTTTGAAAAAAGAGGCTTACGATAGATAAGACATAAGTAGCGTTAGTTTAATGTTTAATCAATTAGACAAATATGTTCTGCATCTCGCGTACCATCGATACGCGACGAGTTTAGGCACTTTTGAACGTACGCACGCGATGCTGTACACCGTGCGTGATTAGCCCGTACTTTGTTCCATCGATAAGACTTATCTTGCACACATTCCCTTTTCCTATCATCGTGCACTATCTGTTCCACATAATGTGTGTCATTCTTGCGATATAATATCCGTCTAGCGATTCGTAAACACCTTCTCATATACCTTTGGAAGCTCGTAGAAAGTTCGGATTGCACAACGATCTCGCTTTCTTCTAAACGCAAACTTCTTCTTCCCCCTTGAATTACAAGTAGCACCTTTTAATTAATTCCTTCGACAAATGTCTCTCGTTTAACGACCGTGCGTAATCGAATGCTTTCCTTTACAATTAAACTTCTTTCGTATCGGAAGCGTACAGTGTAGAAACATAATTATGGATCGTTAAACATTGCGTTTATCACAGACATCAGCTGCAGCTTCTGGACGTTTACGGTTGCAAATGATAGGTTTCTTCGTGGAAGTCTGAATTAGGAATTCTACCTTCTGGTTGCTAGGTGTTCCGCGAAGGCGACCTTATTAAATGCAACGACGCGTCTCGGTACTTAATCGTTAATTAGAAGAAGACTGCACATGAAACATCTATGGTTGAAGTTTGAAAGTGTCGGGAGAACATCGTAGGTGACATGGATTACGTTTAATCACGTTGATTTTTTTAAGTAGAACGTTCGCTACTTTCATGGTGTACTAGTACTAGTGTCTACCCATGCTTTGTGTCGAGTCAGTATTATTGTAATATTAATCACATTCATTATCTAAGTTTCTAACACTGACAAGAAGATTTGTTGGTTTGTCGTTGAATCTAACGTGGTCGCCTTGATGGAATGTTCAGACCTATTTTATATAACAGACAATTTTTTCCTTGAAAAAATTTTGAAATTGATTTAAAAATATTATAGACACTCAAAAATTTTGAATAACTTTTTTTATATCATTAGTGACTTTGTAATTAGAAGGTTTTTATTTTTTTTGTTTATTATAAATAATTAGGTCAGCAAAAATTTATTATAAAGATTCTCAAGGAAATTTTAGTTAATCATGTAAAATCGATCCGAAAACTCTTACCCCAGAAGGAAGCATTCGACAAAGTTATTCGAACAGGATTGTATGAAGAAAAATAAGTATATTTAGTGCCATCTAACATTACCATTCTTACGCGATATTTTGTCGTGGACGCTACTGTGTTCCCATGGGAGATTCCCATGGCGGTCTATTGCAATAGGCCGCTTCTGTCGTAGCTGACAGACCTGAAAGCGTCTTCCACCAGGTCCGTCAGACACCTGACAGCTTGCAATAAAGCCGCGAGGAGAAGGGACAAAGACAAGGAGATCAGTTTGCTAGGCACTAACGCGTTCTCAGAAGAGCTTTGACTTCTGCTCGACATCTTCTTCCTCTTCCTCTTATCGAAACTCTTGCCACCTACGGATTCCTTCTCCTTATCCTGGAGCTTATCCGTCGACCCTGTACCTCGCGATTTTTCACGTGGGCGTGTAAGGTTCGTCGTCCGAGCGAAAGAAATAGACTCCAACTTCCTGCGGAAATCTTCCGTCTTAGCCTCCACGTTGGTCCAACGTTTCTCCTTTGTTCCCTTTTTGTTTGTTCTCGATGTTCTGTTTTGTAACATCTCTTCGGACCTGGCTTTCCCAGAAAAATCAAGGAAATTATTGTTCGTCGACTCGAACAGCAAGTTTTGCAGAGAGCTTTTACCAGTCTCGCGTTTGTCAGAAGAGTCCAAATTAGAGAACTTCGAGTTCTCGTCCAGGGAATTCGTTCTACTGTGACACTTGTCGCGACAAAATGGTTTCTTATCCGCGCAACTGGTGTTCAAATTGTAATCGATGATCATCGGTTCCTCTGGTTCCGAGGAACAGAGTCTGATGTTCTCCCTGGTTCCATCCAGAACGATTCTTCTGGGCAGCGTTTTGTTCAGACTGTTTGGAATAAAGTTCATCGCCTTCTCAGTGTAATTCGAGTCGCTGGCTTCTCGAAACACAGTTGACCCGTCCACACAATTAGTGTTCGATTGATCGTCCATCGATCCTGATTGATTGTTCTCCTCGGCGTTAGCAGTGTCGGAGGATTCTTCGTTCGACGCGTCGAAAGCACCGGCACCAGCATCGTCATCTTCGTTGTCATTGTCTTTCACAGTTAGAGTACGCTCTATCCAAACTTCTTCCTCTTCTTCTTCTTCATCTTCATCATCTTCTTCGTCTTCCTCCTCGGATTCGAGGGTCGAAGACTTCCTCTTACCTATTACAGGAACGATACCATCGGCATAGAGAAGATCCTGAACCTCGTAAAGGCTCTTTTCAATGCTCGGACTTTTGTACAAAAGATTCCTCAATTCCGGGATGTCAAGATCTTGCACGTGAAGGAGGTTTTGTTCGATGTTCAAGAGGCTCTCCTCGATTTGAACCAGACACTGTTCAATGTCACACGTTGGTTCCTTGCTGGAATCGCTTTTCACTTGTGATCGACTGCTCTTCTTCGATTCTTCGTCTACTTTCTCAACGTTCTCTGATTTCCATGTCGTATCCTCTGTCACGCAAGTATTACCAAACATGTGTTCCCTCCATGGCTCTACTGGCCAGGCAGACGTTTGTAACAGATCCCTCTGCTGCGTTCGACTATCATAGAAAACCCTGTAGTTGCTATGACTGTTAGCTACTTCGTAATTAGTGTGCTGTCTGGTGTCCCAAGCCAGCTGATCAGTCTCCGCGTTCTCTCTGATGCTTCTTTCCCTGTTCTCGGATGATATACTATGATCACCGTGGCTATTAGCCACCGAGTAGTTCGCTACATCGTCTCTATTAATCTCCAAGTAATTTCTCACTGCTAGTTCCGAGTATAGTTCACTGTACCTAGCGTGGCTAGTAGATTCATGATAAGCGTTGCCATGACTGTTCGCAAGCGGGTAGGTTGTGCTTAGATCGAAGTCCTCTCGAGTTTTTCTCGAAGTTGCTCGCCTTGTTCTACCGTAAATCGAACATTCGTCTTTGCCATGACTGTCAGCATCCTCCTCGTCGTCGTCGCCGTCGGTGGGTCCCTCGGGATAAGAAACTTCCTGCGTCTCGTCTGGTACGACACTGCGTTCCAGACACGTGTCGTCTATCAGGATGTAGCCATCCAGGACGTTCTCGTCCAGATCTATCCACCTCTTCGAACGATCCTCGCACCATTTGCGATTATGCTCGGCATCCTCTTCGCTCGTCGGTCGTCGTCGTATCACTGGGTCTTGCACGTGTATCTGCACCGGGCAGAGGACGTCGGTTCTCCCTTCAACCTCGCAGATAGCTGGTGGTGTCGTCGCCACCAAGGGCTCGATTTCGTCCAACAAAGCTTCGCGAGACTCGCGGTACCTGTAACCGGGACACGGGGTGTTCACTGGGGAGTGTGAGAGGAGGTTGACGTAACCACCGGCGCCTCTGCCTATCAGCGATCAGGTGATCCTGGCCGGGTGTCGATGCTGGGCCATCGCGGAGTTTTGGCTCTCGTTTAGCGCCTCGTTGGTCAGCCTTGTTCTATTTCGGGTGCATAAAACCTGGATAAAAAATAGATATCTTGGAGCTAGTTAATCGTTGACAAATGTTACACCTGTGTAATCTACACTATAGTTATTTAAAATTGGGGAAAAGGGTTGTGGTGTCCTTTTCGGTTTAAAGAAAAATGTCCCTTTCAAGAAAATTTCAATCTACCTTTGGATGAGTAACTTTGACGTTCTTAAATTCATCGCTGAACGTCAAAATGTAGATGCAGAATGCAATCGCGCATAGCCATTCCGTAACCGTGCTAGCCATGTGCAGTTCCCAGCCACCGTCCTCCTTGTACCATTTCTGAGGATTCGTACCTGGAAAAAAGTATCATCGTACCTCGTTAAGACTTTGAGGAAGAAATATAATTAAGAGGGATGGGAACACAACGAACCAACCCTTATAGGCCGCATACGCCAGCGTGCCTGTAACGACGGAGATACAGAAACAAACAGTGCAGAAGGTAGACAATGCTGTACGAAAATGCGCCAGTCTCAAGGAACTTCCGATCGGATGCAGATAGAAGGTGCACACAGCCTGAAAACAGAATGGGTCGATGAAAAGAAGGTCTCATATTTTCAGAGAGAATTTCGTGCCGTGGATGAATCAGTTATCCAGAAAGTTACGCAAACCTAGGGAAACAAATCAGCCTTCGTTTGGCTTGATCCAATTAAGCGACATTGATGTTTCATCCACGGCTTTTCGCTCATTTTAATCCCTGCCCTTTTGTTCGGACGAATGAAAGTTTCATTAGGAACTTTTCCAAAGGGGATAAGTGGAATGTTTTTACAGCCGCGTTGCTATGGGTTGCGTCAAACGGAATTCGAATAAAAGTTAATGCTTCGGATTAATGAGAATTATCCGATTAAGGAGAAATAAATTGAAAAGAGGGAAAATTAAATTCACACTGAATTGTTACGTACCTGTGTCCAAAAGTACGCAGTGCTTGCACCGAAACAAAGGAATGCACCGATGAAGTGCATAACTATCACAGTCGATTCTTGAAAATTTGCTACGATGGAAAGGCCGAAGGTGCCCACTAGACCAAAAATTAAGGACCAGTAATTCCATTTTGACAAGGATTCCTGTAGGCTAAATGTACTCGAATATTCTTTCACCTGAGAGTACCTTATGTAGATGACGAATGACACTGAAAAACATGAATCAATGTTAGCAATGTTTTTGGATATTTCAAAGTTTTGTATTCGATTGTCCTTTGCTAACGAGAATCGAGGCTACTGTACCACGTGCAATGGGTCAATCGATTTTCTCGCCTCAAGAGCGTAGAAAAATTTAAATGCCGACATAGTGCACTCACTGAGCATCGTTAACATGTTGATGAACTGTGCGAATATGCAGCTCTCTGGTGCATACGAAGCTGCGTCGGAGATGTAAGGAAACCCAGCTTCCACGTGGCCCAATACAACCGCTACTACGTAACTACAAAAAACAATTAAACAAAACATTTAAAAAAAAATTCAATGATCATATCTTAATAGAATCGCGTCAACAATGTAAAAATATTTAATGCAAATTATTACAACATCGCAAATTTAAATCTGCTATCTATCTTTGACGTTCATTATGGAAATTCGTGGCAATTTGCATTCCAAATTTTCAATGAAGAATATTTTAAGCAGCGTTCTGCATACAATTATGCATACTGCACTTCAATGAGCTCATCACCGACAAAATCAAAAAATTGTTAAATATTTTGTGCACCAGCTATCGAAAGGACAAATAAAGAAACCTTGATTTCTTTCAAATTGAACGACCACTCACGTGAGAATAAAGACGGAAGGCAAGGAAATGAACAATATAATCGGAAGATAATGCAAGTTGACTAAGTAATCCTCCTTGTCCATGTTTCGGCTGTGCGTATTTGGTTGTGGTTGGCTTTCCCGCCGGAACCGATGACGTCAAGCGACGACGTCCGGGAACGACGTCGCTATCGAGGAGAAACACGCGCCGATGCACGCGTCGACGAGCAACGAACACTCATGCTCGTCTCCTTCGAGAGACCGAAACTTTTATTCCACTTCCTTCCCCTGGGAAGCAACCACTGCGACGCGTACAACGAGCGCACTGCGGTTCCACTGTCATCAACTTTTCTATGCACCTTCGAACAGAAAGGAAACGCGTTGTCACGTGGCTGGTTACTATCACTGTTTTCTTCCGCCGACAAAATGCGATCCCAATTACATTTCCACTGAGAGAAAGTCGCGTTACGTTTGAACCTCACAGCAGCTGATCCTTGCGAAACCTTTCTGAATTATTCCGCGAACGAAAATAACTTAGCTCACGAATGTTGGACGCGTGCGAACGAATCGAGTCCACGGCTCGCGGCAGAAATATCGTGCTCGATATCGTCCCGCGTAATCAGGTGTCCATGGAACGATGTTTTCCGACGATTGAGAGCGACACAGGATCTGACGCGTGCGAATATTCTCACGCGGGCGTTGTCTACTTGAACAGGGAATTGAGCACAGTGCTGTCTAGGTGAAACCAGCTGTCCGTCGAAAACGCACGAATCTTCTCAATAAATGAAACATGCTGTACCTTTAATATGCGACACTGACAGCTGTCCACCTATCGTCACGTTTCACTGAAACTGGAAACTGTTTCGAAAAGGGGTTGTTCACGGTTGAAGGTCTTCCTGGCTCAGCCAGGAAGCACCCTGTATGCTCAACGAAGATACTTAAAAAAAAAAAAGAAATGATTCACGAAAGTTTTCTTCTTGATTCGTTGATTTTAATTACGTTTTGCGGGGTTTAAATTGACGAGGCCAGAGTGAATAGACAGCAGAAATCGCAGAGGTTATGGCCGACAGTGCACGATCGATGTTGTGCCAACGAGAACGGCGCTCTCGGCAGCTGCGCCACGAGACTGACGCCGACGTCGTTGTCGTGCTCCAAGAAACGTAGGTACGTCGCGACGCTTCCCGCGGACGTGTCTTGATAATATGCAATGCGACGCTTATCGACGTTGGCGCACCTTAGGCAGATCTGTTACAATCCCACCTTTCAGTCTTTACAATCTTTTAAACGCAATTCTTTTCATGTATTTAGGATTCCGTAGGTTGCGTATATTTTTCTGCAAGTTTTATGCAAATTGAACGAACCGCTGTTACGGCGCCTAGTTCTTGAACACGTTCCTCGAGCGTGACTGAATAACGGGCTTCATTTCTCGATAAACGAGACCCCGAGTATCCTTACTTTTAGTACGGACTTCTTTAAGATCGTTCGAATTTGGTTAGAAAAGATGTTGCTGTTGATCGACGGTTGCCAACGTCAGGATCGTCGGTTATCGTCTTTAAACTGGGCGAAGAGCTTCAGGGTATTTTGTCGTTGAAGAGACTCGATCTTAGAGAGATAAATCACGTTCATAGACTAAGTTGGTCATTTATGCACTCTCCAGGCTATAAGTTATTAGTTTCAGCTTTGCTTTTAAATTAATTCTATTAGACACTTGGAATATTAAATAAAAAATTAAATTATTTAGGGCAAGGTTCTAAATTTCATCTCCCATTTGAGCAAAATTTGGGCAAAGTTCATATTTATATTTAGGTGGCCTTCATGATTATTTAAGTCTTTCTAAATGTCGTTTTCGCAGAAATCAGTGATTAGAATTTTTCATGATTAACATTATCGACCGTGAGATTAAAAAAATTTAAGTATATATCGATAGGGAAATCATGAATTGATACCAAGTGCTTATTTCTTCAGATCAATAAAAGATGGTTAAATAAATAATATAACTTAGAGAGTGAAACGTTGTTGATACGTTGGAGGAGGAGGAAACATAGACTCCGTATCGTACCTCAGTTTTTCCTGGTATTATATATCAGCTTACATGCTGAGATGATATGTATTTCCGTCAGCTTTCTATTATCCTCATCAAAATAGGCATCAATTGATAATGGACTTTATCACAACGAACATGTTAGTTAATGATAACAGAAATTAATTGAATTAGTAGGAGAAATGAAACAAACGGTATACATAATTGGTTCAAATCATTTTTTAAAGAAATATAACTTAATGATTAGCTTTGAAGTAATTTAGGATTCTTGAGTATCCAACTTATGAGATATTTTGTCATTTTGAGTTAAGTCTGGACCCTTATCCAAGTATATCAGCTAAAATCAGAAACATAATATCTTTTAATTGTAAATCCTAACTTAATTACCAATTCATGAAATGAAATCGAATCAACATTGAACTTTGATCTCAATTAACAATCAGACAGTGTGTACGATACTTAATTGAATACAGGACTATTCCATTAGTTTTTCTAAATGAAATTAAACAGTTAAATAATTATATTTGTCGCCAAGTAAAATATCTACCGTGACCACAGGATCTTCGAAGTTAATTAGTCGGAACTCTGGCACGAATGTTAGAAGAAAAGCGCAATAGACAATTGCCAAAACCCATTCAGAAATGGCACTAGCAACGTGCCAACCCCAGCCACCGTCTATTGGCAGCCATTTTTTGTAATCGTTACCTGCGAAATATAAAATCAATCATCCAATCAATATATATTGAGCCGAGTTTCAGATAAGAAAATGAACAGTCATTACCTTGAAATTCTAGCATTGAAATGTATCCAGGCACGATTGTCATAACTGTTAAAATTAAAGTTAAAATTGATAAACTTGCCCGAACGTACACGACAATTTTGCTATTTACTGCTGGTACCATTTTGTGACTTATATATGTCTGAAAAAAATTCAACACTGATCAGAATACCCTTATTTAAGCGCCATACTCCCTTATCTTACTTGAAGACAAAAGTAGATGGTTCCAGCTGTAAAACAGGTCATAGCACCTATCATATGAGCCGCGACGACTCGAGCTTCTTGAAAATTGGCCAAAATGTCCAATCCAAAACAAGCTAGAGCCCCGCACCAGGCCGCCACAACAACAATCCTCTTGCTAACGAGATTTTTGCCCCTTTCCGATTGCCATTGAGAAACTTGTCGATGTCTAATGTAGACGCAACAGGCGACTGAAATACACGAGTAACATTATCCTTTACGGTTCGACCGTAGCCATACCGAAAGGATTAATAAAAAGTTTATTGAAATTTACGGAGCAATGCAGCTATATTGAGAAATTGGGCGAATACACACGATTCTGGCGACAGGGTGCCCGTTTCAGATATATAAGGAAATCCTGGCACCACATGGTCCCAATGCACCGATATGGTGTATCTGAAATGTTAATTTGAAAGCTGAGTCATTTATTATGAAATTTGACCATGAATCTTTTTACCAAAATAAAAGTATTGTCATACGTAACGAGATGAGGTAATTTGAGATGTTTAATTCATTAGTATATTAATATTATGACCTTTTTAAAATGGACGAGGAAGTAAAAATAACAAAGTACAATGTAACTGGTTTTAAGTAATAATTTCATGTTTCCAAGACAAGTTTTAATATTCAAGTATGGTATTTTGAGTGATAATTATAGTTCCTTTTCCTGCATTATGCATACAGGAAATATTTGATTGCTCTAAACTCAGAAAAAGTTACATTGCTATGACGATATAATTTCATGTAATTACTAATTAATAATCAAAAAATCTAATTACAGGTATTTATGGGTAATTTCCGTTAGCATATGATTAGCTAATGATAGAATTTCCAAGAGAAATAATAAAATACTTTGTAAAAACATTCCGGGTCATTAAATCCTGTGTTCGTTTTAAAACTAGCCATATTTATAGAACAATATTTCTCGTGAAGTGTACACGACATAGTATAACGAATCGAATTGATTACGATTTACAGTGCAGTGTCGGCTATCATTATTTCCGATACCGTGGCCTTGATCAACAATAAACAGGGTAATGAACATCGACGTCGATGTTTCGATTACGGTTTCATTTTCATCGTGAAACAGTAGTCATTGTTCGAAAAGATTCTTAGCGTTAAAGTTAAAAAATGCACGAAATTTCCAGTTATCATGGCTCAAAGTTTTATCCCATTTGAAATTCATCTTCATCTCAACAGACTTACGTAATCAAAAATGTCACTGGGATTAGGATGAAAAGGCTCAGTGGTAGAACATGCAACTTTCCGTAGGGCATCCTCTACTCGCACGTTTTGGAATGCTGAAACAAGCGTTCCTCTTATCAAAAGTTATCGCGCTGTCTAGGCTTTCACTGCGGGATACAATTTAGTTGACATATTTTAGCGACAAGGCAAGAACAGAAAGGGGATTAAATTGTATTTGAAATTAGGTAGCTAGAGCGAAAGGTTTATAATAATAGGATGTGTCATATTATATTCTGATAGACATCTCAATTTGCTTGTTATAATGAAATTTCATTATTTAGTTGGATTATCATGCTATAATAATTTCTAGAGTCTAGTATCTAGATTAATTACCCCTTCTTTGAAAGGACCATCTATGAAACTAATTGCAAATTTGGAAATTTGAAGAAGGGTTAAATTCAGTGAATAATTAAAATAGAAATTAGAGTTCAATGTCTATATTATTAGAAAAATTAAAATTTTTTTATGAAACTGTTATCTCTTATCTTGTTTAAAAAATAGAAGAAATTAATTTATGACCTCATGTTCCTCAGAACAGTTCAAGGCTGTTCTGAGAATCAACGAAAGGTCGAAAGCCTGGTGTTCCGCGAACGTAAATCATCTTCGTTGTTAGCCTTTTCAAAGAAGCCTGACATCTTACCTCGAGGGTTCGATCGGGTGGCAGGAATGGTTTTTTTTTACAAACAACCTGATAGAGGCTACGCCAGGGGGGCACTTCGTCATGGGGCGCCTTGAAGCAACTGTCTGTCAGAGCTCTTAACATACCTCTTGCCGTACGTAACCTGCCAATCACTGATTAACACACACAATTACGCCGTCTGCTAATTAACGCACTGTCCGATTATATTTTGAATGGAGTTTATTTCGCTCGGGCATGAAGTGAAATGTTTCTTTTTTAATATAACTACCGTGGGTGTGATTGGTAATTGGTATCAGAAATTTAATAAAATTAAATAATTAAAAAAAAAGAAATTAAAGAAATGATGATCAATGTTTGAAATTTAATGCAAGCAGATAATTAAAAATAGAAAAGGGAAGGAAATTTTTTGATAGCATTATTAATGAAAAGAAAATATAATAAATATTTTCTATAATTATTAGAATTTAATTTTTCGGTCCATCATATACCCCAAATTTGATCGTGGATCCTGTTTTGGTATATCAGTTCCAAAATTTGTTCGTCGAATATCAAACCCAATGGATGCTCGGAAAATAGTATCCGTTCAAATGCAAATCACAGAATTGGTGGACGTGTGGTTTACGTCTGCGGTATGGATAGATCGTGACTAAAGCGAATTAGAATTTATCGATAAAGTGTTGCTGGTGCACAACGAACCGCGTTCGATAATTCTCGCATACCAACGCGCGTAACAAACGTTCAACCACCAGCTACCAAGAATTCGTAATTAATATCGAATTATCGGTATTACGTACACCGATGTGTTACGTAAAAGTATGATTTCCTCAGCTATCAGCTTCTGGGAAAAATGTTGTTATTTCTCTGTATTTTCACCGCTTTTGTGCGAAACATTACACCAAATTAGATAATTGTTTAATGATCCATGAAAAATTGAACTTGGCCATCGGTTAAATATTTTAGGATGCGAGGGAAAAAAGGTAGTAACAACGAGATACTTGGTAAAATCACATTTTTGTATTAACAACGTTACAATATTACAATATAGGCAGTTTTGTTCAGTGTTGCTATGTTCCATGTAATAAACGTTAGTTCGCAACTTATTGTTCTTTGTATTGCACAAGCAACACGATCGACTAGCAGCCTTGTGTTATCGCTAATGATAACGATAATATAATCTAAAAATTATTTCAAACACAATTAAGTTCTGTGTTTAAATTTTTCATTATTCAATACTTTTGATCTTCAATCAAAGAAAATTATTTTAATCATATCCAATTGCAAAAAAAAAATATAAATTTCTTCGAGTATAAAACAGAACTCTATTGCAATGAATTCGGAGTACCTTATTTAATCTACTTCACGATAGCACACGTATGTGTACGCTTATTATCGCGTATATAGTTATGTGTGTATATATAAGTGTATGTGCGTGTATGTACATGACATGCGTATGTATAATTCTAATATAAATAGTTTGATAAATAAATAGTATCGTTATCTCTTTGCTTTTGTACCGTTCGCGACTCGCTCGATCAGAAAAAGAGAAACACTGCTCCAAGAAAAACTCTCGAAATATCTCGAACGACGGTACAAAGATATACTCTCGTTTCTGGCTACATAATTCTATCGTTACACTATCATTACCACTTAATCGCTTTTCGATTGGACTAGTTTCAAATACCTTCAGCTAGCATTGCCTACGTGTAAGCATCAGCCTTTAAACAAATCCCTTTCAAAGAAGTCTTCTAGGACATGATTTTTACATCAACATGAATTAAACGATCCATACTTTTTTCAAAATTTTTATTATAAAAATTTTGCTGCAGTCTCAATTTTAGTTCTTGAAGTTTTCATTACTTTTCTTAATTTCAAAGGTGTACAGTCTATTTTCCTTTGAGGTTAATTTTCTTACCTTTAAGGAGTGATATATACCAATATTTTTATTCTATTATTTTCTGTAAACTCTAAAAATTGTATTTAGATCAGTGAATAAGGGTTCATGGTATTTTTTTGTATGGTCAGACACAGTTCCTTGATTATGTTAACGAAGGATCGTTCAATTCGTGCATCTACGCGTGGCAGTGATCTAGCACGAAGCTTAAACAAATACGTCGACGCGAGTCGAGGTTATCTCCATTGTGGACGGAACGTTTCCGTGGTTCCTCTCGTCGAAAGCCGACGTTATTGTCCTTAATTGCACCGCGAGCAATCGCACCGCTGGTCCAACCCAGCGTGTCACTGTTCGCTAAAATTATCGCTAATACGATCCTTAATCTTAAGTATCTTAAACGAAAAGAGGAACAAACCAAACGATCGAAGGCAGAGCGAATAAAATTAGTCCCTCCAATAGCTCTCTCTTAAATCCTGCATAATATTTTTTGGTTTTGTACTATTGCAATCAATTCGTTGTTCTGACAACCAGGTTCAATCTGTATAAAAATTCAGGTCAGGTATTCAGGATTTTCGAACGATTTCAAGTTATGCAAAAAAAAATTGAAGCATAAAGCTTCAGTCTAAAATTTACATAATTTAAACATAAGCGAAATTGCAATTTCTTTACATACATACGGTGCAGATTTGATGAAAAATTAAATCGAAGGGGAAGCTACTTTTGAGGTCTCAAGATAATAGAATAGCAAAGTGGATTTCTTTTTAAAAATTCAGCTGCACCAAATATCGCAACGATCCTTTGATCGAGCTACGTGCTTCCTTCGTCTATTACTGTGATCACCCTATTGTTAGGAGGTACATTAGTCCCATGCCATTTCTGCTTGGAATCAGTTTCCTCGTTCGCCGATTGAAGCGTAGCAGGTCGTTCGATAGCTGGTTGGCCACCCTTCGATCGCGCAATGGACCATCTTCGTCCACGACGATCCATGATGATCGGCATCTCCGCGATCAAATTGTTCTCGAATTCAGAGAGCATCAGATAGTTCTCGACTTTGTTGCACGAGGTTATACAGTCGCCGATATAATCGAGATCCTCGAGCATGTTGTCAGGGAGATCCATATCTGCGATACCCTCCTCGGAGATGCATGTCAGCTCTGGCTTATCTGGTTGAAGAGCGTCCATCATCTCACCTGAAATTCAATTCAATTTTTATATCATTTCTTGCATATTTTGCTGTTTGATAATTCGTCTGTCAGCATTCTTTAATTCAACTTCATTTGATTAGTATTAATTAAAATTTGAGAGCTGGTGATTTTGATCATAAAAGTATACCTGGAGTTGGTGATATCTCGGTGCCGAGAACAAGGGCTGCTGCTGCAGCTCCAGCAGCAGCCACATGTGGACCATCGTTTTCCGGTTCCTGACTAAACGATAGCTTCCGGCGTTGTGGACAACTGTCCGAGACGCAGAGGTGCTTGGTCCCGTTCGACCTGGTGTGCTTGTGCCTGGACAAATTCCTTCTGTGTAGATCTATGAAGAAAAGGGTGAAACCACCCACCAGAACGCAGGTCGAGCTGAAATAGTAACCAGCTTTCCCACCGCAACCAACGTTCATGTACCCTATAAAAATGACAATTCAGTTGAGTTCTTCGTTAAATTTCTGCGGATAATCGTTGTTCATTTACCGGAAATTGGAACCCCGATCGCTATGGGTATAGCTTGGGAACATTGTACGAAACCCCACGTTCTGGCGAAGTTTCTTGCTCTCACCCTTTCGTAGGTGTACATTTTTAGGCTGTAGTGGTAGCCACCGCAGAAGATTCCTGTGGAATGAATCAAAAGAAATTAAATTATTTTGGGGGATTGCACATAGCTCAGGAATTTCACTCTTTGTCTAAGTAGGACGTTAGGGTCTTTACAAGGGTACGATTTTTTTCCAAGAAAAATTGTTGTACCGTAAATCCAAGCGAACATGACGTATCCATGATAATTTCCTTGCACGGCGGTGAGGGCCAGGATACACAGTCCGCATACAAACACCGCGGCTTGCGTAAGATACTGACGTGCTATCCTGCATTCGACGCTGCGATGCACGACTAAAAGACCAAAGGCCACGCAGCCGAGGGTCCAGGCCAGGCCGAGATAAGCCTGAAGTAGAACTACGGTGTCACCGAGGCCTTCTTCCTCGGCCTGGTGCGCCTGAGACGAAATAAAAGGGTTAGGATCACTTGGACAGTAAATTTAACCCTTTTTTTCGACAATTTTAATTATAACCTTACCAAGTAAAATATTGGAGTGTTGATCCCAAAGGCAGATATCCCAGTCGATATCAGTAATATTCTTACAGTTTTACTCTTCAGGGTACTAAAGTCGAAGAACGGTGGTCTGTCGTCCGTCTTGTTCTTATCCTTAATCTTGCGCTTTTGATTTTTCAAATGCAAAATTGCTCGACGTTGGGGATGATAGAGGGACGCGCTTCTATAAAAGGTACCTAAGATGAAAGTAAGAAAAACTACCCCCGTCACTGCTTGAAGACCCAAACGCCATCCAATTTTGCTGAAATTGAAATATTCATTTCCTTGATGATTATTCCATAAAAATAATAGCAAAGTGATTGGAAATTGTACGATTACCTGATCATTCCTTTTATAAAAGCAGACATAACAGCGATACCAAGGCCACTTCCGGATACGATGAAAATTTCGACCAACTCTCTTCTTCTCTTAAAATATTGCGCCACCATAAGGGTGCTGCAATCCCTCGTCATGCCGACCCCTATGCCTACGTAAAATAATTAATGTGAAAGCATAAGCTTCTCGTTACCCTAATCTTTATTGTCCTCTTAAAATGATTGTTTGTTTAAAAAATCGTTTGAAAGGATTTCTCTTAGGGTGGAAATGACACAGGGGAAAGTTGCAAAAGTTGAATCGTAATTGCTCCTGAAGATAAATGATCCAAAGATTTATGATTGTGTAACTTTTTATATCTTTCGTTATTTGGAGACATATGGGAGAAATCATATGGTTTATTGGTTTTTTTTTCAGTGACTCACCCACAACGGCGCCATAGCTGAAGAACAACTGGTGAAATTGCGAGGCGAAAGAAGTGAAGAGGCAACCGAGTGCTGTAACGAGGCCACCCAACACTGCGGTAAGTCTTGTGCTTTTTCTCCGACAAAACGCTATTGTCACTGGCGAAACTAGTAGAGCTACTCCCGTCGACATTGCTCCCAGCCATCCTGCAAAGGAAACAACATTTTGCATGCTTAAATATATTTGTGTTTGCTCATATTTTCTATAGATAAAAAGGGGATGAATTGCGTATAAAAATTTGACCCCTGTTATCAATTTCGTCCATCATATTTTGTTCAATTTCATTGTTTTTATTCTTTCTCTTACAAGATATATCAAGCTTATCTGATTATGCTTATATTTCGTCCTTTTTTTAAAGTTTCTTATAACACAGCTATCTTGATGCATTCGTAATCTGAGAAGATATTTTCTCGAGCTGTGCCTGCAAAAATCTTTTGCATAGCATTTAATTTCCTAGCTTCTCTTTTATTTTTCATATATTTAATATATTTCTTATAAATTTTGTCAAAGAGCTTATATAGAAATCTTGAAAGATCTTGATTTACATCTTTGTTGTTTCCGCACAGATTGCAATCCCTGCAATGGCGCATAAAGATAGGAAATAGAAATAAAAATGAAATAGAACAGAAATGGGAAGTTGAAGGAATCAACATATTCTGTAAATAAATTTCCTCCAATTTCCACGATACGGAAATCCAAAGCGAAACAAAATCTACATAATTTCACGAGCAAACCATCGCATTATTCAGATTCTCTAGCGCTTCGTTCTCATCAGTTTGATATAGAATTTATGCGTTTCGTATGCCGTTCGATCCGATTCAGTCGTATTTCAAACTAGTGGTTTGCAATCATAATAAACGCTTCAGGTTCTCGAGGTACCCTTCAATTAGAGCCGAATTGCGGCACCCGATATATCAAAGGTAATTCATGCTAGTCACTGTTTCCATGACGATATTCACGGCCCATTTTGACGTCGGATCACCGTTAAAAGATCCGAATGATAAATTGATTCCACTTGGAGATCATTGACGTAGCTAGGATTTTTGTCGAAGAGGTCAGGTAGCTCAGTTTTATTAAAAGGATCAAGCATTTAGCGTTGCTCATCACGTTCGTTGATAATTATTTTAAGAAAAAATGTTTCTCCGCTGTTGTAAAAGTAATGACGTAGCTTAGAAACGTATCAAAACTTTTGCAATCACCTAATACCTTACCTGGACTTTCCTTCAACCACGACCGATCAATCTTCTTAAGACGCCTATTAATATAAGCAGACTAACTAAACAGAAGTTGACTCTGGATCCAGGTTAAAACCGTTTTAATTACAGTCGCGACGTGTAGGTTAAGCGACCAGCGACTCTCGATTTGCCTCAGTCGTTTAATTAATTTTCATCGTTTCTCTGCAATCTGAATCGCGGATGTCGAGTGGATCATCGATCAACCGGTTGGGTAATGTTTTCTAACAACTCCTTTTTACGAATGGTAACAATTTGGTGCTCGCGCAATTAATTTTACGTTCTTTTATCCACTCAAAATAAAATTAATGTTAGGCTTCTGAAATGATCACTTTTCAAAGTATAATTCGTAGATGATTAAAGCTACGGATAATTAGTTTTGCTATGCTATTAGTACCTATGATAGTCGTTAAATTTTACTTAACTCGTGAAGTATAATCGGTGAAGTTCACCAGTAAGATTTATTACGATTCAGAAGAAAATAGAATCTGTCAGTAGAAGGATCTGTATCTCGGTTGATAGATACGTGTGACAGAAACTAATCAACGTTTCGCAAGAAACAACCAGTAGATAAGAATTTATTGATCACTTGCCCAAGTGATTCTCTCTACGTGTTGGTTACATAGGCAGTTAGTTATCCGGGTGACAAAAAGGGATGGTTATTAATCTCACAGGAACAGTTGAAACACGGTAGACCCACGTGTTAAATGTTCCACGTTCGTCGGAAATAACTCATTCCTCGGGCATACTCGGTCTCATTTAAGATCACGCTTTTGCTTTTTTTTTAATTCTTCGTTTTCTTCGTTTACCGGATACATCTTCCACCCACAATGTCTTTTTTGGGATTTTGACAATGTTACCCATTAACACAGACTAATTTAGAAAAGTATGAAAAAAGATTATTTTCATTTAAAATTTTCAAATCTTTTGGAATTTTATTAAAAAAATTAGTGGTTATAATTATTTTTAATTAAATGATTCTTTTCTCTTTTTTTATTTTGCCACTGATAAAATTTCAAAGGGAAGAAGATACAATTTTTCATAGAAATAGACTTTGGACAGAAACTATCTATGCAACAAATAGAGGTGAGAAGATCTATCTAGAGCTTGTAAATTTCAAGAAAAACGCCAAGGGTGGAACACCGTGGCCATTTCGTATCGCTTCTTTTTCCATGGCTCCTTGCCACCCTTGTCATCGGTCAGGATCAGAATTCTTTATCAAAAATCTCGAGGGCGTCTAGCTATCGTTTCCATCCTTAAATCTCGGTTTCTTTTGAAGTCAAAAGGCGAACGAGAGGGAAAGTGAATTGAGGAGGGACCAGGTCAGTGACCCGCAGGATGGTAATCTCATTTTCATGGTGATTTTATCCTGCCTTTCAGAATCTCGTAAGACTTCCAGCCGAGTATAATCGAACACCCACGAAGTAGCAATTTATTCTTTGAAACTTTGCACCTTCCTTCGATAAGAATGGGAGTTCGATAATGGTTTTGTGAAACACCATAGATTAAACTTCAGCCAACTGCTCTGGTGGTCATCATTTGTATTGGAAATTTAATTTGATCAAATAATTCAGTAATGAAAATGAATAATTTTATTGTAAGTCAAAGATAAAGTTTCTCGTTTAATGTTAGATTTATCTTTGCTTCAACTCTTCAAAACTTCAATTCCAAACAATCCTGGTTTTATCACAGACTATTAAACGAGATGAAACTTGGGAAGCAACTTTTCATTCTTCTCGGAAGGAACATTATTCGCTTTTCTTATACCACTTTAAAGATCCTTTGAATTCTTCAGAAGTAAATTCCTGAGACTCGTTGTTTCTAAACAACAATGACCACAAACGGAAAACAAAGTGGAAGAAAAGTGGAGCTCGTTAACATCCAGAGAAACTATGAAAGGATCTCGAGGATAGAGGGTGCAGCGAGGTGAGAAATGAAGGGAAAAAAGAATAAGCGAAACTGGGAAAAATCGTTTTTACGAGCACCACAATAACGCTGTTGCGCCATCAGTTTTCGGGGTTCTTAGTAAATAATAATAATGAATCGGTCCGAGCACTTAACCTAATAGCTTTTGATTCAGTGGAACGTTTCAGAATGGTTATAGTTATCGTCTTGCGAGCTGAGACCGTGGACGATTGTTTCTTTCATCTTTGCTACATGAAATATTCAAACGTTATATTACTCCGGAGCTACTTCCTGTTGCTAGAGTCTGTCGGGAGCTGAATTTTATGATTTTCTTCGTATTTGTTGTACTTGGTATTCGGGAATAATTCCAGAGATAAGATAAGATAACGCGATAAGAAAATTTTGTTTGGAAAGAAATATATTGCTTCGATTTTAATAAAATTTTTATTATAAATTTGTAAATTTTAATTAAAATTTGGTCCTTAATGGATTGAACGAAAAACATTAGGGGTTGTCTTATTATTATTAGGTTGACAAAATAAATAATTTCAAGTTGGAATTAAAAAATAGAATCATCAATCCTCATCAGTCGTACCTACGTTGCAAATAGGTTGGCGATATCGTTTCGATCCTTCCAACAGCAGCCAGGCTCCCACAGCCCCGTGTATTCCCGTGGAAAGAATTTGCACCATAACGCCAGTTACCACGACCACCCACCCCCAACCACTTTCCGGGTAGTAATGTTGTCTTATGGTACATTTTGCCACGTATCTACGGCACGTAAAAAACAGCTACAATACAAAAACTGACGACAGTCTTCAGTTTACGATCGCTGTTCACGGTACCGTAATGTTTCGTGCATTTCATTAAACTTAATGCTTTTTTAAGTACCGCAGTAAAAAATTTCTGACACGTGCAAATTACAGTCAGAAATATCGCTTTGTAATTGTACAAAATTTATAATGTACAAGTAATTTCAAATTACTTTTGTAATTAATACAAAATTGCAGTGATTCAAAGATGTAAAATTTTTAGAATTGTAAAAAAATATTAGGTTTTCATGAACATAGGTCGACAGTTTTTAATTGCAAGCTGTTTCAAACGATCAAACCTAGGATCCTTATTTTCGTCTTCTTCGATTTCCTTTGGTTCCGGTTCTTGCAGACAAACGATTCCCTCGCACTCTCCAGAGAACGAGGGTTCGCCTAGTTCGCCGGAAGTTGCAACCCCGCTATCGTCGCAAGGGGGACTGTGAATGACATCCCTTTCGTTGCACTCTCGAGTCTTCATCCCTCGATAATCCACTCGTGCATTCCAATTATCTTTTATTTCTCATTACGAACACCTTTTGATTATCTTTAATCACTGTCGCTGTCGTCATTTATTTTTGTACAAAAATATGGTTAAAAATTCCAGTTAACTTTCTGATTGAATATGGTAATCTTTCTTTATTGTATTATACAACACCCTTTAGTATCTCGTTTCCTACATCCAAAGTTTCATAAAATACACAGGTTTCGAGATAAACTTGAGTTTTTTTATATGCGAGGGCAGATGGGGATGACGATAAGGAAGGAAGGGTCGTATTTGCTATTCGAAAAGTATATTCAACAGAAATCTTTTTTGCTTGATAGATTTTTTATTCCTACAATTCTGATATCAGACCCAGACCCAGAAATATTCTAGTTTTTGATTTTTGGATGAATTTATACAGTATCACGATCATATTAGCGTGAAAATTTGTTGGAAACTTTATTCTGGTCACGTTGAAGATTAAATTCCATACCTTCTGCCGGACGGAAGGTAGCCGCACAGATAAAGTTGGCAAACCAAGTCTCTTTTCTATTCTCTTACTCGGAAACTTTCCTGAGAGGACTTTCTTTAAACCGAGTAGGAAGTTGTACTTTGAAACAAGACTGAATTTGAGACTAATGCCTGGCTCACCAAGTTGATACCTCGTTTTTTTTTCCTTCCTTGACTTTTCTGTTCATCAGACGAAATAGAGAGAA